CCGATTAGACTCACAAGTGAACCTGTCTAATCGGACTAGGTGCGAATCGTCAGATTATGAAATATCGTAGTTGCGAAGTGTCGCAGTTGCGAGTTGGCAAGTTGCCAAATGACGCGGAGTCAAAGAAGTGTTCTTTACAAATAAAGGCCGAAAACTGACCAACAAGAAAAACATGTTATAAACGTGGAGAGAAAATAACAGTTTTCTTGAAGTAGTTTGAAGCTCTTCTTTTTTTTCTTGACCATTTCAACTTTCCTTACAATTAGCACATGCTATGAATCGATTTATTCTCAAAAGAGCCCATAGATCGAAGCCGTTTTCAACGAAAACAAATTTTATTTAGAAAAAATCTCAAACATGAAAAAAGAGATGGGTTTGAATAAGGGTGACCACCTGATCAAGACTCCGATATATTTCTTGTCAAGTGGCCAACCCCGCCCATTACATAAATACATAAATACATAAATACATAAATACATAAATACATAAATACATAAATACATAAATAGATAATTAAATATATACATATATACTTAAAAAATTATACGAAAATTTAAGACTCCTCATCGATCTGCCCTGCCTCCTACTTCTCCTCCTTCGTCTCCTCCTCACCAACAGCTTCCTCTCTCTCACTCTGAAAATACCATAATGACTACAAGAATTCAGCCTAAAATCATGTTGAAAATCAATAAGACAAGAATTGTTCCCATCCACTCTATCAAGACCTATCGGCTGTGAAATTCACATTTTTTCAATTTTTCCCAACAACCCACCTTCATCCTTCACGTTCGTCTCCGTGTGCGGTCTCTCCACCGCATTATACACGCATGTGTAGAGGTCCACTGAAAAAAGAATAGAAGTACTAGTTTTCAAGAATTCCTGAAGACACCTAGTATTACAACTCACCGAACGCGTCCTGGATTTTCTGGGCACTTGTGATGTTCCTGGTGGCGGAGCTGTTCTTTGTGTTGGAGCTGATACTTGAATAGGAATTTGAGAAGAAAAACATATTATGCCGTGTTTTCGAACTCATACATCGGGTAAGATATTTCTTAATGTAAACACATATGCGAAAATATCAACAAAAATTTTTCAAATTTCGTGGTGAAGGCCCGATAGGTTATTATATTTTCCCACAAATACCACTTACCTTTTTCAGTTGAACTTCAATGGAACTTTTTTTTCAGAATAAATAGGTATTTAAATATTACAAATAATCGTAGCAGACGAGACCAGAAATCCGTATGGTCAAACGCGTCTGCTGAAGGAAGGAGAACTGACGAAACGGCACAAAAAGGGGCAGGCTCCGAGAGATTGGGAGACGAAGACAGTTAGAATGGTCGATTCAAACGAGAGATCTACAACAACTACATAGCTTGACAGGAGACGCAGGAATATTTTGGAGTGGAATCGTCTCTAGGTATGGGCGGCGGTGAGCGACCGCCTCACCCCGATCGACCGCAGGTGAGACGTGTTGGAATATGTGTCGGAGTGGAATCGTCTCTCGGTTTTTGGGGACTGTCTGGCACACGGAGTACCCAATTCGGCATCTAGCTGGCACGCACTCTGCGTGCCTGTTCTCTGCGTCTCTCTCCTTCATAATACTCTCTCGCGGAAATGACAGTATTTCAGCCTTTTTGAGGCGAAAAACGAATTTCGGATTGAGGACGCAAGGGACTAGTTTTCCGGCTTTTTTAGTGACGTGCTGTATGAGGCTAATAGGTTTTCATGATGAGCAAGGAAGTAATAGTGCACATTTTGAAGACTTTTTTCCAGAACTTCGGTTCGAAAGACAGAATAAGTTGAAACGTGGACTTTTATTTACAAAAAAAAACATCCCCCGAAGTCGTGGATGCGGTATCTATCAACATCTGTCCCCACACCAGAGTTGCCCGGATGTGACTTTTTCCTTAGACGGAAGTCGGAAGCCGGAAGTCGGAAGCCGGAATTCCGGGCAACTCTGCTCGACACCCATAAAACCAGCTGGAAGGTTGTCCCAGCTTCCTTCAAGCTTCACCGAACCCTCTGCAAAAATTTTTGAAAAATCAAAAATACACAAAATATGAAACACTGTGTATACAGTTAAAAACGTAATTTGAAAACAGTTTCTATAATTTTAGGTTTATTTAAAAAAAAAGACCCCTCCCTCTCTATATGCAAAAAAATCCTGTGAAGCGACCACCTGGGTATAACTCCGAAACATTTCTACCCAGGTGGTTGGTTCATTACACTAAAAAAAGTATGAAAAATAGATTACAAAAAAATTACAAAAAAAGGGGGGTTATTATCATTTAGAAGTCCATCTGGCTCTCCTCATCCTCTCCTTCGTCCTCCTCTTCGTCCTCATCTTTCGCCTCCTCGTCCTCTCCCTCCGCCTTCTTCTCTTCCTCAGCATCTGAAAATATCGTAATTTAGATGAGTTACTAGCTGCTCTTCTTTTTGTTGTGTGTCTCTACTGATTAGCAAAATTTTAATTTTAGCTGATCTTTCTGCTAATACCCCACAGTGTCAAATAAGCATAATCTGAGTTTATTAGAAAACCGTTATTGCGTCCCGCAAGACGCTCACACTATTGATCACATTATTGTCACTTTATCAGTAACTACTGATTTGAGCCCTAACCATACAGCCCAAAGAGCTCTGCTATCCTCATTTTTTCAACATTTTTAAGGCCGCCAGTAACTTACCTTTCTTGTCCTCCTTCTTCTCAAATCCTTTTCCTTCATCAGTCTTCTTCTTCTCTTTCTTCAGCTTCTTCTTCACCTCCTCGACCTCCTCAATCACTGAAAACATCATAATTAGGATGACTAGCTGAATCTATCTAGCTGTCAAAAGCTTGAACACCGCAACAATTTTTTCTGTTATACTAAGAACATTTTCTGGTCCCCAGTGACTTACCAACGTCCTCCTCCTGCTTCTCCACTTCTCCTTCGATCTCTCTCTCCCGAACCTCTAGGCCTGAAAAATAACAAGTTAAAGGAATCGAGTTGGTGACGAAATTAAGGTCTAGTTTTCCGAATGTCCATTCTGACAATTCTGAATACCCCAACTAACCTTCTCCAACTTCCTTTCTCAAACTTCTTTCCAGTTTCCATATTGCTTCGTTTCGTCTGTAAACATGAGAAATTTTGTATGTTTTGAAAAAAAATCAATATAAGCTTGGAGCACCAAATTCGGGCATATTTTGAAGATTTTTCAAACATCGCGGTAAAAACCTGCGCCTTGAAATTTCCTGGCAAGAAGGTTCATTGGTTGTCTCACAAATACCACTTACCTTTTTTCATTTTTTTAATAGTTTTCATAATAAAAATATTAGAAATAATCGAAGCAGACAAGACCAAAAATCCGTATGGTCAAAAGTGTCTGCTGAAGGAAAGAGAACTGACGAAACGGCACGAAAAGAGGCAGGCTCCGAGAGATTGGAAGACGAAGACAGTTAGAATAGGGCCCAAACGAGAGATCTACAGCAACTACATAGCTCAACAGGAGGCGCAGAAATGGGTGCTAGTTGAATCGTCTCTCGGTGCTGTGGATTGCCTGGCACACGGCGTACCCAATTCGGCATCTAGCTGGCACGCACACTGCGTGCCTGTTCTCTGCGTCTCTCTCCTTCATAATACTCTCTCGTCGGAAATGATAGTCTTTCATGGGTCGGGGTGGAATCGTCTCTAGGTATGGGCGGCGGGGAGCGATCGCCTCACCCCGATTGGTGAGACGGCTGCAAAACACGCAAGGCGATCGCAGCGCGCTTGAAAACACTGAGTTTGGCGGGAAAATTTATTTTCTCGTTGTTTCACAGTAACTGGCACTTCAAAATTCAGGGTTCTCAGGCGCGACGCGGTCTACAACGCGGCTTTTTTTGCTGCAGATCAGCCAATGCGACACTTTTCGGATCGGAAAACCATAGGGAGTACGGTCATGAGACTCGTTTCGTACGTGTTTTTTTTTCAAATTTATTATACAATTTCTAAGAAAAAATATTACAATAAAAAAATGAACGAGAAATGGAACAAATAATAAATGGCCTCTCTGATCCCATCAAAAATTATTGTGAACCAACGAAACCATAATAAGAACATTGCAAGCGAACTACAGAGATTCCTCATGAATTCACTGACCGAGTTGAATGTGTCTTTTTTCCAATGATCCGGAACTCCGCTGAAATATTTTCATGAAAATTGATAAGAATTTAAAAAATTACCTTTGTGGCAATACCCACACCAATGATTTCTTCTGGATTCCGAGTCTGAATCCGTCTTCAGCAAAGTAGAGAGGTTCTCTGAAAAATTCTCTTTTATTTCCAAGTGTTTAGTACTGGTTAACTGACCTGATTATAACAAATCTATCAAAAAATCCATTTTGAAATTAAAAATAATCAAGTAATAGTAGAGCAGACCCAAGTCCATAGAGTCAATGCGTCTACTACATAGAGATGAATGGGAAAGAATGGGTGGACATTGAGGGAGAAGCCCGTTAGATGAAGAGACGCCGATAGTTAGAGTACTATACAATTTTTTTATATAAACAGTATCATCACCATTGCACAGACCGACTCTACCCAAACTCGTTGTAAAAGTACGAGAGAGTTGTGTTTCAATTGGAGACGTAGAGGCCATTACTCATATGTTAGCGCTGTGCCCTTTTTCATGATTTCTGACAAATTATTTTTGACAATGTACAAATATTCAAAACGTGCCAAATGAAAAGCTAATTGGAAAGTCATTTTCAGAATTGAGAATTTTCGTGTTTGAGCCGAATTACTATCCAAAATACTAGAAAACTTCCTATCTCGGTTGTCTTCAGAGCTATTCAAAAGTGATCAACTAGTAAAATGTTCAAAACGTTTTGCTTAACAATTGATTAGTTAACAACTTTTCCATAGCATTAAAATCAAACGAGATATCTAGCAGTACGTGTTTCCCACAAGGGACCATCAGCGTTCAGAGAGGCGGGGGCGTGTCTTCCTCGTATGTTTGCCCTCGTCCCCTCTTTTTGCCGACGCGACGATGGCCGAGTGGTTAAGGCGTGAGACTGCTGTTCTCATTCTGTACTACCAGAGCGCGGGTTCGAATCCCGCTCGTTGCAAAGTTTTTTGTTTTATATTTGGGTTGTGGGATTTTGAAAAGATTTCCAGATGTGGGAAGTGAAATTGATTTTTTATTTTTATTTTTTATAGGCGTAAGTTCTGTAAAAGCAGCCTATCAGCATGTTGGAAGCTGTGTATCTCAGTTATCTTTTGAGGTATCGAAAAGTGTTCAACTAATTATTGGAAATCGGCTATAAATCGGTTTAATATTTTCGAGTGCTCTTAAAGTCCATTTGATCGATATTTTACAACTGAAACTGGTACGATGCTCGAAATCTTACTGAAAACTAGCTCAATGGATGAGATAGGACCAATTTTAACAGGGATGGTCTGAAATTTCACTGTTCTGGGTTTCTTCTGTCCGACTGTAAACTTTTCATTTCACGGCGTGTAACTTATGAGCCATGAGATATATCAAAAAACAGTTAACTAATGACTTGGAGATTGCTAACTTTTACGTTTTTTTTTAGTTGACAACTTTCTTCTACCTCATCTGGCTCTGAAAAATTATAGTTTCAACATTTTCATAATGCATTCGACATTTATGCCCGGTATTTCCTACTAGAGATGCATCTGTAATTAATGTTTATCCCTTTCTTTTTATACCCATTTCTTTTGCATAATCCGTCTTTCCATAAGCTTATTAACCCCAATTTGAATATATTAGCTGAAATGTATTTGTCGCTCAGTTGCTCACAGAGATGTTGAATATAAACATTGTCCATTCTCAATTTGATGTCAGTTGAAACCAGCAGATTGAATGCGTTTCATATTCCACCTGAAAATCTGAAATTTCTAGTCTCGGTTTCTTTTTTTTTTTTTTGGCAGAACATACACCAATAATTATTTCAGGTTCTAAAGAGGCTCGATCTTTCTGACCACTGCCGGATGACTTACATTTGTACCGCAGATCCCACCCCTCATTGGCTGATTGGCCAGAGCATTGAAAGTGCTCTTGCCCAAAGTTTTATTAGTGACAGGAGCACTTTCAACGCCATACCTGTCAAACATATGCGCGGCTAGACGGCAACTACACAACTTCTAAGAAAAGCTGTCAGAATCTGAATTTCTACGACTACGCTGAATTCTGAAACCTAGAATGCTAAAAGCGGCCTGTCTAGGCAACTAGGACTAATCTGCCCTGGCTAAAAAAAGAAAAAAAAGAGCACGAAAATAATAGAATACAAAAAAATCGAAAATTATTGGCATCGATGACTCCCTCCGCTTCACAGCTTCCTCCCTCGCTCGTCCTCTCGATCCGCCTTGATGTTGTCGTCGTCGCTCCCTGTAATTTGAACGTTGATAAAGAATTATTCATGGAACGGACGAAAGCACAACTCGTGGCAGTAAAAAAACCTCGAATTTTGGCCAATTCGACCTAAACACAAAAAAAAAATTTTCTGAGCAAGCGCGAAATAATCATTACTCAAGAAATTATTCCTTCATTTTGCTCTTACTGTGCCTTATAAAGTTCCGAAATTCCGCCAAAGTTGTTGTCGAACTATAGTCGACTATGCAAATTTCGAAACAATCATACAGTCCTTCGACTAAGTTAGCTAAACTTTTTGGATGCCTAACTAGGGACCGGTGTAGACACGAGACAATGGACTTTCAGTAAGTGAATGGTACCACTGGGTAATCTGCAGTTGCTATGGACTTCTCTAGGTCAAGATACGTGGTTTCAAAGCGCTTTCTGTACAAAAAAAAACAGTGTTAATTAGGCCTGATAAAATAAAATTGATAGTTAATTTTCACTTCAACTATATTTCCTTATTTTCAGTTGATTTTCTTTACTAAATCCTGCAGAACCCGAACTCTCAAAAGCCACGTAGCTTGACCTAGAGACAGCCATAGCAGTCACAAATTACATAGCCGTGCATGATTTGTTTTCAGCTATTTAATGGTACCATTCACTGACTGCCTCTCCATTGTCATCTCTGACCGGTCCCTAGTATGTTTTCAAAGAGAAAAAATAATCGAAAATTTTAATTTGATCGAATATATCGTGAAATCTTACTGACTGATCTAACTTGAATTATTGGGATGTCTATAAGCAAGGACCCCGAGAGGCGCTTGCTTTTTCTCCCCGTTCACTTTGGCCACTGTTAGCATCGCGGACATTTAATAGATAAAATTTGTGTCAAAACTTGAAAGCTCAGATAATTTCTGCACACTCACCGCGCATCGACTTCCAAATTAATTCGTTGTAATCCATTGAAATCCGTGGATCCCTCGTCGGTCATCCTAAAATCAATATTTTAGAAAAATTTTGATGTTTTCATTCAATCTTACCCTCCGATCCCCATTGTTCCTTGATATCAGACTGCTTGGCAACTGACGATTCTGGAAAAATTTTCAGAGAGAAAATGAGAAAATTAAGTGAAACTTGGAGTCAATCTAACAAAATTTAGTCGAAACAAAGAATTTTTGGGTTGCTTAAGCCCCTTAGAAGTCGGCAGAATCGTCCATTGAAGGCAGGAAACTGTTTCATCCCGACCCTGGGTTTTCAAAAGCGTGGGGAAATTCAAAAGGTATTTTTTTTAACTTTTAGGATGCTTAAGCCCCTTAGAAGTCGGCAGAATCGTCCATTGAAGGCAGGAAACTGTTGCCCGACCCTGGGTTTTCAAAAGCGTGGGGGATTCGAAAAGGGTTTCGACTAAACTATTTCTTTCTTTAGGTCACATATAAAAACTAATATTTACCGTTAGGGAAGCGGAATACACGTGCCCTTTTAATCGGAGTCGGCGCAATCGGTCGATCCCTGGTCCTCCTTGCCTCCGCCCATCGCTCTCCAACTGCTCGGCAGCCAATTCTCTGCTCTGTAAAATCTAGGCAAAGAGAGCATGAAACGAATCGAAACCTTACCTGGGATCAGTACTTATTTCCGATTGCTCCTTGTCGCTGTCACCCGATCGCCTCCGATCGCACTTTTCCATCGTCGCATCATTTCCGATGTTGTTCGCATTTCAGTTGACACCGATCAGAAAAAACGCACCATCAGCTCATCGTCTTCATCGACACGGCTCTTCAACTGATTGAAAGCCGATTCTCTGAAAAATGTCGGAAAAGAGAGCACAAATAGAAATCGAAACCTTACCTGGGATCATTCATTGCTTTCTCTTGCTTCTTGTCGGTGTCTCTTGTTCGCTTCCGCATCGCCTTGCCTCCGTCCTTCGCACTGCCCGACATCACCTGGAAAAAATATTTTTTTTTGCTTAAAACCTCAATCGCATCACCACCCAACCTGATCTCATCTTCTACTCCGCTTGTAACCTCCGATCTTCCTTCGTCACTCCTCCCGACATCGATCGCTGCACGTGGGGCTCCTCGCCATCGGTCCGTCATGAAGCGTCACCTTCCACTGCCCTCGAGCTGCTCGACAGCTCAACAGAACATCGGCGACGTTGCCATCCATGAAAGAACTGCTCCGCAGCCGATTTTCTGAAAATTATCAACAAAGAGAGCACACCAATAACTACATCTTACCTGGGTTCCTTGCGATCATTTGATGTCGCTAGCAGCAGCTTCTGGTGGATCCGATGACATTGTCCTGCCTGAAAGAAGAAATAAATTATTAAAAAGAATTCGAAATCAAATTCCAAGGAAATGTTGAGAAAACAACAGAAATTAACAAAAATAAAAGGCAAAAGAAGACAAAAATGACTAAAGAAAACGAGCGACCAGTCAGCAGGTCGCCTCGGAGGGTAGAATGACAAAAATCGGAGAAAAATGAAGACAGCAACGTTGAAGAAATGAAATATTCCCGGCAGCGCTTGTTTTGATGATCGAATTCAGCGAAAAAAGATCAAAAATTAATGGAAAAGTGGGTCTGAAAATTTAATTGTCGCGCGTGAATTGTCGTGTGTGCGTGTTTGCGTACGCCGCCGTGTAGTTCACGTGGACCAACGCTATTATTTTTTTCAGCAGCTGCACTAGCTGTTTTTCAGTTTTTAGGAGCTAATTTCTCCAAATTTTTGAGTAAATTAGCTTGGGAAATCAAATTCAAGTTCTTTTTTATGGTTTGTTCCAAAGAAACAAATAATTTTCTTTGATTTTAAGCTAATTTTGGAGAATTTTCTGTTTTTGGTAAATTTTGATCTTCGCAACAATTGTTACCGGGAATTATTGTTAGTTTTCATGGCGGTATTGTTATTCTTCAGCTGTTCATTGTTATTCTAACCGTCGAGTGACCTATGATGACGTCGTTTTTCCTCTTGTAGCCTTTTTTGTCGCCGAAATGTAGTTTTTATCCGAAATTTTCCTTTTTTCTCTTTTTTTCTGTTTTTTTCTGGCAGTTTCGTTCAAATAATTCAATATTTTCCAGGAAAATACGACGAATCTGATGGACGACGTGGCGCCGAGCGGAGGAAATTTAGCGGACCCCAGGTAAGGTTTCGATTTTAGTTGTGCTCTCTTTGCCAAAAATTTTCCAGCGCACCGGCTGCCGAGCAGTTTTCTGGCAAACGAAGTGATGAAAATGATCCCAGGTAAGATTTGGACCAAGTTTCTTGTGCTCTCTTTGTGATGATTTCAGGATAATCGGGGGACGAAGGGCGCTTCAGGCCTAAGGACTTCTGCCGAGGGATCGCTACAAAATTTTGGATAGAAAGGGAGAGTATTTGTTTTAAAAATTAAAAAAATAGTCCCACAGTTTTCGATTTTTCGAATCTTGATTTTAGCCGAAGCGAATTTATAGCCAAAAATGTAGAGAAATCAGCAGTTTTTCTCGATAAAATGTTGTTGTGGCTCACCATTTAGCTACGAATTTCCATAACTTTCCGTCACTGAAATACACGAATACCTGCCTTTTTGAGCATTTGATATTAAAATTTCCGTACCATTCGATGGTTTTCCACTAATATCGGTAGATTTCAGCTGACATTAGTGGTTGTTTTCGTGCCACAGAATCTAAAAAATAAAATTCATCACAACTGAACGTTTCGTTAGTCGTTTTTAGTAGTCTTACGCTTAAAAATAATCGATTTTCCGTCAAAAGTCG